CCCCCCCCCCCCCCCCCCCTCCGTCCAGTGGGCCTTTGTCTCTCTAATCAGCCCCCACCTCCACCGTCCCGCCCACCTCAAACATGGGTAGGCAAAAAAACATACACTCGGAATTATGGACAAACTTTTTTCTTATTCTTGAGTCGACCATCGTTAATCCAAGTACAATGTAAGCTTTCAATTACGCTTATTAAAGGCTCAAGGTAAACTCAAAATTTTAAACAGACCGGAGGTTACAAGCTATAACAATTAAATAAAGCTTGGCATCTTTTGCTCGTTCGTGTTCCAACAAGCTAAAGAATTTAAGCTTAACTAAATGCAATTCTTACCAGCTAAAACAAGCAGCACGAACGATAAAACAAAAGCCATTGTGACATCGAATCCTCTCTTTCCTTCGTTAGGTCTTGTTGTAAACCTGAAAATATAGTCGTAACGCAAAGTTAAACACAAACGGATCTTCGCTAGTGCTGTCATGACTCAAAGGTGAACATGCTTGCTGGCTAGCTAGAATAATATACAATGCAAATAAACTGTTTGAAAAGGAAAGCACCTCGTTAAAACACTATGTAGTTGTAACAAAAAGCTACCACATAAAAATAATTTACCCTTCGGTCTTTTGCAACATAAACCGAGCTCGCATCGCCATGAACAAGTTAGGAACAAGATCTACAAAGGCTATATCTTCGAACGCGTCCCTTTTATGACCGCAACAGACGCTAACTTCGAGTGCTTTAGATGGTGCACCGCCATTCTAATTTGGTGTGGCTTAGGTGACAAGTAAACAACGCCTTTTTTGAAAAGCCACAAGTGGCAATCATACGGTATTATTCAAATCAACCGCCTTTTCGTCGACACAACTCTCCAATAAACACTTGATGTAAAAAGCTTACCCAGCATGCAATGTGAATACAATAGGAGTAAATACAGCAGTTACATAAACAGCGCAGAATGCGTGAGCTTCGCGGGAATTTATAGTACGTGAAATCCTCGTGGAAATTCTGGCTTGTCATATCATCACCTGGGAGGCATTAATCCGGAAACAGTTTTCTTCATAGGACGAAGAAAACGTGGTGCAAACTCAAGACCGATCTACAAAACGGGCAGTGTTTGTTTGAGATGTGACTCACTCGTAGCAGACGCATAATTAGTGCCTCTGTTGGAACTCAGTGAGCATGAAATGATTGTAGAATGAAGGGACAATTACATAGGTTTTATTCGTTATTCACTGCAGTGTTTTTAAAACAATTCTTTTTTGTTTTGCTTTCATTGTCCTTGACAAAAAACAACAACAATAATGAAAGATCGACGGAGCGAAGACGCCAAAACTGAAATCAGTGTGAAATCTACAAGGTCTCTGACTCGTCTAGCCTCTTGCCTCAGCGAGCGGGATATATTTGCGCGAGAGATACAAATCGGCTCTGATTTTATCTTCTATTGTTTTTTGTATTTATACGACATCGGAATGTCATGTATAATACTGTGAGTGCCATTTCCAATACAAACCCTCGGCTGTGCTCATCACAAATATAATAGGGTTCTGTATGCATAGGACCTATGAATCAAATACTCAAAGAGAGCCTTGACCTTGAGTTGTATTGATGAGAAAACCGAATTCGTTTTGTTGCGAGAGATATTTTGGTAGTCCATATATACACCACGAGACCACGGCAGCACGATACAATTTCTGAGGTCAATTTCTCATTAGCATCTGCGTTTAGAAGGTTTCTGGCAGAAACTTCAGAATACTACGCCATTTGGTGATGCAAATAACACACTTACTTGCAATTTTGAATGCTTCCAAAAGTTCTAATAACAATACTCCAGATTGTGGTCTCTTTCCACGTTGTACGCTGTATCCGTTCTGTTGTACGATAGTTCAGTTTCTGATCTGTTTGAAATGCGAATCCCGCCTTATATAAACAGTGTGTCATCATTTATAACAGGAAATGTCATCACGGAATGACTCTGCCAACAAGGGCATCACCACACCCCCGCCCCGTTCATGAGTGCGTCATTTTATATCATACTTTGTATTTTTACCGCCACGGAAAGCTTGAGAATTTTCTTTGACATTCAATGCTTCATTACAAAGCTGCTTAGCAAACCTGAAATATTTTGTTAAGCGCAACGGCAAGGTTTTCTCGATGTCATTGCAGAAAAGAAACAACCGTAATTCTGAACTTCACATCAACAATGAGTATGATAATGTAGACGTATATTTTCGGTATTTCCGTCCTATCTATTATAGAACATCTATGTGGATATCATCTTCTCGAGAGATTCATAGACGAATATTTTAACCGTACAAGACAAATTTAAAACACGCCATAAACAGGAGTGGTGAAATTCTCAGATTTAATACTAATTAGCTCAATTTTAAAATATAGTACTCGAACTTCTAGAAAAACAAGTTTCACACTTATTTTGTAGAAAGTTCTTTTTATCCTATTTGAGTAATTCGTCCCGTCCCACAAACAGAATAGACGTAAACAATGAGAGTAAGCTTTTATCGAATACTTCACAGTCGCAATGATAATTTATTCTTCCCTGGAGACATGAGATGATGTTTCCGTGTTTTGTCTGCTAGCACCATCACATAAGAATTTCAAAAAAGCCGATAACTGTATTGGGTTAAGCATATAGAGATAACAGAAAAAGCGAAGCATTTTTGGCATATTAGATGAAATTTAAGTTTCAGTATGCCCTCATAACTCGCACACACCACGCGCGCCCGCCACAGAAAGCAATTTCCGTCCCGTGGTGATCGTTTAAAAAGATCTTACCCGTGAGACGATGAGTCCGGCACGCGAGAGGAACGGTGCATGAACTTTCATGTTGATTTGGGTAAAAAACATGAAAAGTATCAGCGCGTGCTTAACTATTTCCGGTTAGTCATCGTAACCGGAAATTTTACGCAATGTTTAACTCCCACCAGCACTGACCTTTTATAAACACAAAGACAAACTAAGGAGGTGTTAATTAAAATTGCTCAGCTCCACTCCAAAAAGAAGTGATAATACTCCAGAAGTGAAAATATATGAAAGATCATGTCTTAATTTAACCGCGGGATGAAGATTTTACGACTTTATCTTCTCAGTTTTGTACCCAAGGTAGGCAGCTGCGAAAAAGAGGGTATAAAAAAATTATTCCTGACTCGAGCCCACGGCTCCATGGCCTCTGTGACACCGGTTCGATTCAGTGCTCTGTTTAATAAAGGAGCTATCATCAAGCCAACTGGAAGCTGGTCACGGCGAAAGACGTACGAGCGAACATATCATGAGAGATATATATTTGAGCTGCGAAATAAAGATGAGTTTAGTTGGCAGCAGGCTAGAGTTGGCAGCAGGCTCCCTGTCCTTGGTTATCGACCGATATTCGATTTGCCCATAGTGGAGGAAGACTCTCACCGTGGAAGGGGCAGGGATGCTCGACGTCTCGTTAAGTGGTCAGGATAAATATGCGGATCTTGGTGCTACTATAGGACTGGCGACGATGCATTTACCCATTGAGGTACCTTTCAGAGCTGCACGACAAAAGTGTTTGAGCCACATTGTCAGTAAAGATGCATTGTTCAGGTCAGTCTGGTACGAAATATTTTAAACGTCTTCATAGATATGACCCGGGATATGGTGACAGCATCCGATAAGAATGTGATTTAATATCATAAAATGATACTGAATTCTTTAGATGTATGTAGCGCTCAGATTTCCATTGCTGTCTAAACTAAGAGAGACCAAACTGGGCGTGGCTGAAAGCTTTACTTGATTTCTAAATGAGAATATTCGACTTTGCGTTCCGATCTTCAATTTCGATTCACGAGGTAAAAGTGAAGGGGGGGGGGGTGAGGTAAAGATAATCTATTTTTTAATAAAGACCATTAGTATAATATCCGCGCTGACCCAGCAAGTGAATGTTCAAAGTGAAACTGACCTAACTGCGTTATTGATCAACGTTTTCCTTTTTTTATTTATTTTGCCTCGAAGTTCTGGTATTCTCGCAGTTGTACGAAGTCTCAAGGCCGGATCGAAGAGTGGATACAGTTGAATACTTACTTTGACCCCCAGGGGAGCACTCCCAGAAAAAAATTGGGTGGAAGTGTGTGGCCCCCGGCTATGACCCTTTCTGATCGATCTTCCTATCATCCTAACTTAAATCGAAGACAAAACTTTTCAGCATCTTCTTTTCGATGTCCATGGGTTCACTGTTTACGGTCAGCCTTCACTTGCCACAAGTTTATCAACGGGTCACGTTCTCGGGCCGTAATAAAAACTCAGGGATTAAAGATCGTCGGAAGGGATTTTACCCACGGGAATTCGAAACTAGCGGACACTCGCGTGATTTCCTGCTTCAGCTCGTAACAAGAAGTAAGATGTGCGGCAGGCCACGCCCGGTATCGAAACGCGTCGCTAAACTGGCTAGGTGATGGCCTTTATCGGCGATTCCGTTCGCGAAAAACTTATAAATACCTTACTGATTCAAATATTTATCAAGCGATCAACGCTGACTTGGTAAACCCCAGGCCCCGTTCTGCCTCTCGTTTTCCCACAATGACTGAGACTGGAACCGGAGACATTTTTCCCTCAGTGACTAAGAACGTTTTAAAAAGATAAGAAAGAAGTGGAAAAAATGATGGAAAAAATTCAAAGAGAGGTATCGAGTATAGCTCGCTGGCAGAAGAACAGATGTCCACGATTAAATAATTAATGCAAAGATCGTAAAAAATTAACAATTAAGGTTGTGGGCTCCTGTCGTAAATCATGATTTTGCGAAGTATATTGATATTGAGCCAATTCAGTGGTTTTTGTCACAAACCACGTTTACAGATAGTTGTCACTGAATCATTCATTGGTATTGCATTTACTTTTTTTCAACTCAGTCTTCCAAATTAAAGCAATAGAACCACGGTATAAGTCCGGTTTTCAAAGTGTTTTCACATTCGATCGCAGGAATGTCGATCGTGTACGTGTGGGCCATGCTTTGAGCGCCTAGTTACAAAGATTAATTCTTATATTGAGGCCGTCGACCCTCAAAGCGGTGAGATATCAGTTTTATTGCCAGTGGTATGGGCTATCATGATCATGATAGATTTGCGGCACGATCGTCAAATTCTCTAACAGCTTCTTTAAATTTTCAGCCCACTTTATGCCTCGAGATCTAGGCTCACTAACATTTCCGAGATCAAAGAAAAAGACACTTAACAACGGGCAAGTTAGAATGCAATTAACGTGATTTAATTTTGTTTTCTGAGACAAGAATGGAGGAAATAGCGGTGTCCATTTATATAAAAGATCAGCCAGAAATGTTCAAATCACATAACGGAAAACATCACTATACCCTTAAAAGAACGATTTCGAACCATACCTACCTATTGTAGCTCCTTAGAGTCACTGTCCTCCTTTTTTGATCGATCGACACTTCCACAGAGGTGGCAGATGAAACTGAGGACGTGCGGTCAAAACCCACACTCTTATAGCATAAATTAAGGCAGGTCCCAATCAAAATGAATTGAAAAAGAATCATTAGACAAATACAAGTTGCTTTTTATCGTTCAGGTCATCACTGAGATAAGATACAAAGGAGAAAAGCTGTGTTGTCAACTGTTCCGGTAATATTGTTAGTATGAGAAGTTGCATTAAAATGTTTGTCTCGAACGAAAAATGGTTTTATTGATTCTGCAGGAGTTTAAATCAATGCTTGTACTAATATAAAAATAATTGCTTTCATCATAAAGCTAACTCCAGTGGTTTTTGTAAGGATCATATAATTATTACCTTTGGAAGTAGTTAACAGATTTAGCAACCTTTTACTGCACGGATCAAGACTTAATTTTATGAGTTACCTTTCAATCAATGTATTTTCAGGAACTTGTTTTTGCTATTCTAGAGAGTACAGTACGAGAAATTAAAACGGTTCTTTTCAATTTATTTAGACCCTAAGCTGTTTCTTTAGCTTTATTTGCATTTTGGGCTCAATTGTCGAATGAAATAGCGCTTAGTTTACTTTTTACTAAATTGTACTGCCGGTGTGGCAACACCGTCAAACAATGTAATTTTTTCAATTGAGGAAATTTCGAATCTTTGCACGTCCTAAAGCTACCCACGCACTTTGTACAGATAAACGTGTTAATACAGCTGTTGATTAGTACATTTTCACATTTAAATGAAAACTCATGCATTGTTATGTATTCAAATCATATTATTTCTATTTTCTTTTCTCTTCAAGACCAGTTCTCCTTTTTGTCTGGAGTACATCACGCATTCTCCGAATACCTTTTTTCTGCTTGTACTCCTTTTCAATATGCAATTCATTGTTTAAAACAGGGAGTATAACTCGAGATTTTGGGCATCTGGTAAACAATACCGAAAGTTAAAGAGGCAAAAAACACCACTGCAGAGAGAGACAGAGAAAGAGAAACCAAAAAGCAAACAAATAAAATCAAAGGAACATTTTTCATTTACTCAGTGAAACAATAAGTAAATAGCGTACATAGGTGAGACCACAAATATTTTAAAGAGCCTTGTTTCAAATTTTTCCCACATTGAAATTATGTGTAATGTGTTGAAAGCCCATCATCTTCCGTCGCTTTGGCCTGATAGATTGATTCAATTTTGACAAACAAAACAAAAAATGCCCGTAGCAGGTTCTATACATTTCGTGATCAAACATTGAAGAGCTTTTAAACTTCCGAGTAGCTATGTTAACAGCAGGGGTCCCTTCTGGTTTTAAATTGCGGAATAGTGCGAAGGCCGGTTGATATATATAAACAATACAATAGCCTCCATTCGGCGCGAAAATATATATGCTCGGATATTTGTCTGCGGACATTATTTGTTCCCAGAAGCGAGCAGTTTTCTGAGAGCGTATAACGTAGCTCGAGGAAAACTGTGAGCTTTGAGGAACAGATAATATGTCTAAGGACAAATATCCGAGCATATTTTCGCGCCAAATGGAGGCTATTGTGCTTATTATCCTTCAAATATTTTTC